AGACATAATAGTAAGTTCCCACACACCTAGTACTCAAAATCCAAGTAAGTATCCACTTACCTTGAATAAAGAATCAGATTTTCCTTTCTAATATTATACCTATTTTCTTTGTGCAAAGAGATTTTATAACTTTCTTCTCTCTTGGTAAAGCTCCCTAGGGAAATTTTATTTAATTTCATTCACATCATTACAACTAAGTCACTTGAGAAACTTAAAAACAATGCTTGGTATTTGGTGCTAATTACTTAGGATAATCTACATGTTCCCCTGTGGAAAAATGTAAAGAACAATTCAAAGAGAGAAACAAAATATCGTGAATGAGTGATGCAGTCCCAAAGAGATCTACAATGTAAAGGCACTCTTAAATTCACTTCTATGGGAATTACGATTAAAGTACAAGTGTCTAATTCAGAAAATATTATAGCTGGAGAGAAATTTTATTCTACTACAAATATAATCATTCTGTGTGTATGGAATATATTTTCATACGTTTAAGGTGCTATTTACTATGACTTATCAGAAATAAAATCTACTCTTAAGTATAGTAATCCAAGTTTCATAATTGTGTATATTTCCTCTTTTTGACTTCAAAAATGCAAAAAATGAGAAAAAATCAAATAGAGTAAAAAGTTGATGTGTCATTAAAACAGATATTTAATTTTGATCTATTTACCTATCTTTAAATTAAGACAAAGGACATGTTAATAACAACAAGATCTGAAGCCGTGCTTTAAATTGTCCTACCAAATGCCCAATTGAACTAGGAATGTTTACTTTTGGATCTGCTCCCAGGACTCTGTGACTGTGGTGCCAAGAACAGGGACACAGGCAGGGAATCCTGAATTGGAATACATCCTAATCTACACAGTGAGTTTTCATTCATCCAGAGAGACACAAGATTGTCTAAGAAAAATGAGATAAAAGAGAGATATACAAGGAAATTATTTCCTGCTTTTACCCCTAAACAAAAGTTTCCCAGTATCATGCAACTAAATATCACTCACGGCTATTTCTTCTGTTGCTGAATTCCACATTAATGGAAATACCTAATACATACTCCCTGTTTCCTGATGCCAGTCTTCAGATTACTAGTGAAAATACCCATGCCTTGATTGTTTTGTTGTATCAAGCTCTGTTATATATAAAGTCTCCCATGACGGAGATTGTGATAATAATAAACAAACTAAACAAATAAAAACCACATGTTCATCCCTTTTGAAAATCTGATACAAATACTCCTGCCTATTTGATGATGTTTCATTCAATCTTTCTTAACTATAATTCTCAGAGAACAATCCTGGATCTTGGAATCTTGGAAATGCTTCAGACTTGTACCCCTTTATTACTGATTCAATGTATAACAGTTTCATTTCCCTATTCATATAGTAAATGTGAATTTGGTTTAGTTCATTATTTTAACACAGAAATTACGCATACAAAGTATTTCCTTACTTTTAAAATCTTCACTTATGTGTAATTGTAAACACTTATTCATATAAGAGTTAATCATTTTCATAAAGTGTGTAAACATTTTGCACTTTTGTTGAATGCGGCGAACTCCCTGACAAGCAGGAAAGAACAGCCACCAGACGAGGACCACATTGAATGTGGGAAGTACACTTGAACTCATTGTCACAGGAGACAGCTTCCTAAATATAATCCAGTATCACTGATGCTGAGAAAAACAACTAATAAATGGAACCTCCTGAAACTGAAAAGCTTATGTAAAGCAAAGGACACAATCAACATGACAAAATGGCAGCATACAAAATGGAAAAAATCTTCACCAACTCCACATCAGACAGAGGTCTGATCTCCAAAATATACAAATAACTCAAAAAATTGGTCATCAAAAGAACAAATAATCCAGTAAAATAAATAAATAAATAAATAAATAAATAAATAAATAAATAAATAAATAAATAAATAAAACAACTCTAAGATTCCATCTTACACCTGTAAGAATGGCCAAGATGAAAAACACTGATGACAACTTATGCTGGAGAGGTTGTGGGGAAAAGGGAACACTTCTGCATTGCTGCTGGGAATGAACGCCAGTACAACCCCTTTGGATATCAGTGTGGAGATTTCTCAGAAAATTAGGAAACAACCTTCCTCAAGACCCAGTAATACCACTTTGGGGTATATATCCAAAGGATGCTCAATCGTGCCACAAGGACATGTGCTCAACTATGCTCATAGCAGCTTTGTTTGTCATAGCCAGAACCTGGAAACAACTTAAATACCCCTCGACTGAAAAATGGGTAAGGAAAATATGGTAATTTACATAATGGAGTACTACACAACAGAAAAAAAAATGACATGTTGAATTTTGCAGGAAAATGGATGGAGTTAGAAAGCATAATTTTGAGTGAGGTAACCCAGACAAAGAAAGATAATTATCACATTCACTCACTCATATGTGGTTTTTAACTATAAAGCTAAGAAAACCAGCCTACAAATCACAATCCCAGAGAATTTAGACAACAATGAGGGCACTAAGAGAGACATAAATAGATCTAATCTACATGGGAAGTAGAAAAAGACAAGATCTCCTGAGTAAATTGGGAGCATGGGGACCTTGGGAGAGGGTTGAAGGGGACGGAAAAGGAAGGAAGGGGAACAGAGAAAAATGTAGAGCTCAATAAAAATCAATAAAATACAAAAAGATGATAAAAAGAAATTATAGCAAATTCAAAGGAATATGTCACCTATAAGGATTACGTAAAACATAGCTATAGTAACTGGATATATGCATAATCAGAAGAGAATAGCATTGAAATTAGTAGAACAAAATACAAAATCAAAATCTGGTACAAATAGCAGTTAAAAACAACCCAACAGAAAAAAAGACAAAGAACAAATTGTTATACACTTGAATGCTACCAAAATTTCAAAGAGTGATGCATTGTAAGCCTTTAAAATTCTTTCAGGACTTCATAGCTTGCCACCAAGATACTTTCACACCCATGTTCAGGGCAGCACAATTAACAATATTAAGAAATATAACCTTCCAAGAAGCTAATAAGTTGAATAAATAATGACAAACTTACACATCCAAATCTTATTCATCCAAAAAGGAAAATGAAATTATTAAAGTATGAGGGAAATTACTAGACTAGCTATTATATTATTGAAATTTCTGTAAGTTAGACAAATATTGCATTTTCTACCTTATATAAAATTGTAACTATTGATTTTATGTGTGAATTTATATAAGTGTGAGAAGGCCTAGAAACTAGAAAGTGGGACCTGAGACAAAAAGAGAGTGGTTTATGGAAAGGAGCTAAGGAAAGCAATAGCATCTACAACACTTTAACAAAGCAAATACACCACTAGGGGTGGGGAAGGATTGCACTGGAGGGAGGTGGGAAAATAGAGGAGGCAACAAGGGAAGATGAATCAAAGCAAATTGTGTATAAATATGTCTTAATGAAACCTGTCCTTTGTGTGCTAATTAAAATATAGTTATGCCAATAACACTAAATGCATTTCAAAAAACATCAATGAGAATTCTTATAAACATATTTTATGGAACCTGAATCACCCTAAGATCAACAAAGATTCTGCAAGAAAGTACAGCTACCTGCTAATATTTTTGGTGTTTATAGAAAACTAATGGTCCTAGTGATATGCACATACTAGCAGCACTCAGAGGATTCAGTGGGTTTAGAAAAACATGCATTAATTCCCGAAAGAAAAGTGACAAGGTATGAAAGGAGTTAGAAGAAATTTAGTTGGGGTACACTAAATATTATGTCCCAAAATATTATATGCTTATATTAAAATATACATACAGGTAGCATTATACAGATTACATAGCTTATATTTAGGGATATACAGGTTTATGCATGAAATACCCATTAATGAAGAAGAAAGAGGCAATGAATTTTAAAGAAATTCTAAACATTTATATGGGAGAGTGTTGAGAGAAGAAAGTGAATGAAGAAATTCTGTAATAAATTTATGATCTCAAAAATAAAATAAATTTTTAAACAATAAATGTTTAAAAAGATAATATCATTAAAACATTAACACAAAAGATTTAACAATATTTTAAATGAGATCACAAGGCTTAGTAAGCATAGGGGTAGCCTCTTAATGGGATGTAATGATATTCTTATTGATATGAGGAGACTCATTTAGACTCATAGAGATGTGCAGATTGGTGCAACCAGCGTGGATATACAGGAGAGAGAATATTAAATATTAGATTTAAAAAGCACACCATAGTTAGCATTCCTCTTTTGAGTACACAGCCATGAAAATATTGTCAGTCTCAAAAATTATAATCTAATAGATAACTTCTATATTAACTTAAGCAATGCACATCTATACATTTGCATAATGAATGTTATACAACTTTCAAATAGAAAGTATTAACTTCAATTTATAATAATTCTTATAGAAAATCTAATTAAAATAAGAAACATAACAGAAATATTAAAATATTACATGATGCACATATGTACATGGGAATTTAATTCAAAATAATATCACAAAGGTTACTAGAATTGGAGGCAGACAGTGAAGAAAATGCAAGGTGTAGTGCAGAGTGTCAGGCATAATGAACATTTCAAAGAGCTAAGGTATAGCTTGAATTTTATAGATTACATACTAAAATTTCACAAAAAGAAGATTTCCTCCACAACGATAGAAGCAACATGGCATAAACTTAAAGGGCCAGATTTATGAATATTTGTATATATATAATGCATAAATATATGTATACAATAACAATTCATTTAAAAGAGGCAATGAATTTGAAGGAGAGTCTGGAGAATTACGTGGAAGGGTTTTTAAGACGGAATGGAAATCTCAAAAAAGTTAAAAGCCTTCTAAAAATGGATAGAAAAAGAAATAAATGAAAATGTGTGCTGATATAACATATTAAGAATGTGATAAATATCTAAGTTATCTTAGTGACATGATTAAACAAAAGAATATTGTAAAATAGTGCTTGTGTTTTTATAATTTATTATGATACATAGTACTGAATATTAAGTATTAATTTTAAATTGATTCTTTAATACCCTGTAGAAGGCACTTTTTACCTCCTTGTTCCTTAAACTGTAGATCAAGGGGTTAATCATGGGGATCACTAAAGTATAAAACACAGAAGCTATTTTATCATTTTCTAAGGAGTGAGTAGATTGAGGCTGCAAGTACATAAAAAGCAGAGTCCCATAGAACACCACAACCACTGTCAGATGGGAACCACAGGTAGAAAAAGCCTTTTTCCTGCCTTCTGCAGAATGCATTCGACATATGGCTATCAGAATCAGAATATAAGATCCAAGGACTACCAGAAGAGAGGAGATCAAGTTCAATGCTGAAAATAAAATGATCAACAATTGTATTTCTTGAGAATTTGAGCAGAGCATAGGTAGCAAGAAAACATCATCACAATAGAAGTGGTTGATGACGTTAGAGCCACAGAAGCTGAGTCTGAAAATCTTACTGGTGAACAGTAGAGCCTGGAAGATGCTGTAGAGGTAGGAAATGCCCACGAGCACAAGGCAAAGTCTCTGAGACATGATCACATTGTAGAGCAGAGGGTTGCAGATGGCCACGTAGCGGTCATACGCCATGGCGGACAAAATAAAGAATTCACTGATGATGAACATAAGGAAGAATGACAACTGTATGGCACATGCATAGAAAGAAATGGCTTTGTGATCCACAAGAAAATCCACCAGCATCTTGGGGCAGATGGCCGTGGAATTCCCAAGATCTATGAAAGCCAGGTGTCTGATGAAGAAGTACATCGGGGTGTGTAGATGAGAGTCCAGCTTGGTCAGAATGATCATGCCCAGGTTTCCCACCACGGTTACAGCATATATGATGAAGAAGACTCCAAACAAGGGGAGTTGAAGCTCAGAGCTCCTTGTGATTCCCATCAGGATGAACTCAGGTAGAGAGGTTGTATTCTTTTGCCCCATTTCATCCAGTTATGTCCTTGGGAAGAAGCAAGCATTGTTTTAAACTTTTATTGAGTTGTAGTTGTAGGATGGATGGCTATTTCTAAATACTTGTTCACAAAAAAATTTGCACATGATCTTTTATATAAATGCATATACTATTTTACTTTGCAAATGATTATTTTCAGAAGACATATGCTGCTGTATAAAAATTTCCATATCATTATATTTCAATCATATACATATGTAAAACACGGATATTAATATGCAAATGTTACTTTACACAAAGGGCTTGGATCTTTATAATGAAACTTCATTTTGTCTGATTTTGTGTATGGAATTTTGTTTATCTTTGAAGATTGAGAAATTGAAAGGATGAAAATAAATTTTGACTATTATTTTTTTTAATTTTCCCAAATTTGGGGAGACATATTCCAAGTTGGGGAGAAATACATAATTGTATATCTTTATAAATATTCCCAAATAAATATGTAATCATTTTTAATATTTATGATAATTTCTACTCATGATATTTTGGGTGAATTGGTGAATGGGACTGCACAATTTTCTGAAATCTCATGATGAATTGAGAGAACACTTATCATTCAATAATAACTTCTAGTCTGTTAGAGAAAACTCTTCTGAAAATAATTAGCACAATATATGGAATTGTGCTTCATATTGTATAAGTAAAATATCTTGCTAACAAATATGGTATGTGTGTGTGTGTGTGCTTCACTACGATTTAAGTATTGGTTGCTTGTGTCTCAACTTGCACTTATGATTTTATATTTGTTTCTTTCAATAGAATAGTCAGTTTTTTAAAGTTTTCAGATACAAGGATTGGAAACGTTCCTGTAAAGCATTAGTATTCAAAATTTTTATTTGTACATTTTTGCATAATTATTTTACAATACCATATAGAAAAAGTGACAGGGCTTTAAGACATATTTGCTTAACATTTTGTATATGTTAAAGGATTCATTTTGAAAGGTACTCATTTTAGTAGGAAACTTTTTTTTTTTTAAGATTTATTTATTTATTATGTATACAGTATTCTGTCTACAGGCCAGAAGAGGGTGCCAGATCTCATTACAGATGGTTGTGAGCCACCATGTGGTTGCTGGGAATTGAACTCAGGACCTTTGGAAGAGCAGGCAGTGCTCTTAACTGCTGAGCCATCTCTCCAGCCCCCTAGTAGGAAACTTTTATCCTGTATATATTTCTTCTTTGTATTATCTGTGGTCTAAATTTATATCTATTCTTAAATAAAGTCAGTTTATTTTAAATCTAAAAATAGCATTTTCCTGTTTATCATTATAAAGGATTCACACCAAAAATTTTTATTTATGTGTAAATATGACATTCTATTTTGCTTCTAAAAATAATGTTATGTGTGAGACCAGTGATGAATTATTGATATATCTCGTACCATTCCTCATAAATATAATAGATCTGGGATGCCTGTTTAAATGATAAAATTTAATGTTCTAAGGCTACAAAGCAACTACAGAAAACACAGGTTAATGCAGTGTTTTTGTCATGTAGTTCAAGGAACCAAAGAATGTCAATAGCCAGAGACCAGACATGTTATGAGCATACCTGTGTATTATACCAAACAATAAATTGCTTACCTTTGACAAAGGGTAATTTCTCATTTTCTAAATTCGTTGTACTTCTTCTTTCAGTTGCAAGAATTTATGCTTTTGTTTGTTCTCTTTGATGTTCCCTGAGGAAATATTTTAAATTTGTTCATATGATCACATCTGGATCATCTTAGAGACCTAAGATTTTGTTGTGTCGTTCTAATTGTCTGCGACGCACTGTGCACTCTCCAAGGGGAATATAGAGGGGACCGTGGAGGAGACAAACAATGTAAACATTCTGTGTGAATTCCACAGGGACTAGAAAAATTTAAATATACTGTATCCACTTATTTAAGGGCAGCCAATTATTAAAGTTATCATGGGGAATGATTTGAAATGTGCTTTGATTCTGTAGAAGTGGAACACTTTCAAAATCGTGATATAATTATGCATGCATTATTGCTGTCACATGACTTTTGTTTACACTATGACTCAGGAAAACATATGGGAAACAATAGACTTATTCTTCAACCTACATTTGTGAGTTAGATATTACAATTCCTGAACATCCAGCTTTGTCCTTCTGAAATCCACATTATAACAGCTAAAATATTTAAAGTATAGCTTTTGTCTTGAGTTTGAGACACATGTCTATCCTTGCATATGAGAAATCTTTGCAAACCATTGCACCACAATAACTATTTCAATGAGTACCCAACTATTGGGCCTCCTGAATAAAGGAATGAGTTCTTAGAATAGCAGACAGTATCATGATATCAATATTAAATTCTGATATGATTTCCATGTGCTTAAGAACTGAGGTGCATTTACATAATAATGTAACATAAAACATACAAATTGATGTTGTAAAAATCTGTATGCTGTTTGAACTTACTGTGAAAATCCTTAATCGATATACCAAATATTTTAAACACCAAAGAATATTCCCTCCATGTCATATATCAGATCCATTTATTACAAACTCATTTCATCCCTTAATTTCCAAATATTTTCCTAGATTTAGGTACTGATCAACTTTCTATATGTAGCAATAATATTCTATATTAGTAGTGAAAACAAAATGTATACTTAGTTTTTCAATAGTTTGTTTAATTTTAAAATTACTCCTTTTTTTTTAATTTATTTTCGAGACAGGGTTTCTCCCTAGCTTTTTTGGTTCTGGTCCTGGAACTAGCTCTTGTAGACCAGGCTGGCCTCGAACTCACAGAGATCTGCCTGCCTCTGCCTCCCAAGTGCTGGGATTAAAGGCGTGCGTTACCACCGCCCGGCTAAAATTACTCCTTTTTAAATTTTGCTTTAGGACACTATTGAGCAAATTACTTTAATATTTTACTATTTCTCTTTTGCTCAAAAATAAGATTCTCTTTTTATACAATATATACTCATTACAGTTTCCCCTTCCAGGACTTATCCCAGTTCCTCCCCACCTTATAAAGTTCCACTTCCTTTCTGCCTCTTGCAAAAATAACATGCTTCTAAGAGGTAACAACAAAATATAACAATATAAAATATGATAAATTAAAAACATTACAATGAAGTTGGACAAGGCAAACCAACAGAAGGAAAAGAGCTCAAGAGAACGCACAAGAATCGCAAACTCACTTCTTGACACACTCAGGAGTCCCGTTAAAAGCACAACACTGAAAGCCATAACATTTACACAGAGGGTCTAGTGTAGACCTCTGCAGGCCCCGCGCTTGCTGCTCTGATTCTGACTCTTACGCTATTCCTGGCCTCCTCTTCTGTTGAGTTCCCTCAGGTCTCAAGGAGGTATTTTATAAAGACATTTAATTTAGAGCTAAGAATTCTAAGCGCTCTCTCTCTCTCTCTCTCTCTCTCTCTCTCTCTCTCTCTCTCTCTCCCTTTCTCCCTCTCCTGTGTGGGTAGGGATCTCCATCCTTCTTCTGCAGGAGGAAGCTTCTCTGATGATGGCTGAATAAAGCACTGATATATGAGTATAGCAGAACAGAACATCATTAGGAGTCATTTTATCATTACTTTTCTTTATAATACTAGTTTGGTTTTATCTTTTAGGTCTCTGGGCTACCTAGTCTCAGGTTCTTGGACACCCAAACAGCATCGGGTATGGGCTTCATTTCCTGGAGTGGGTCTTAAGTCAAATTACTTATGGGTTAATTATTCCTACAAGATTTGTGCGCCATTGGCTTAGTGTATTATTCAGACAGGCCAGCATTGTAGATCAAAGGGCTTGTGGCTGAGATAGATATGTTTCTCACTGATAGCCTTCAGAGTACCTTCTCATGACAAAAGCACTAGAGTAGAGGGGTGAAGTTTCTATGTAGACACCAGCTTGACCTCTCTATGTTCAATAAGTTGTGTGGGCGTTGTCTTCAGCACTGGGATTTGCTGTCAGTTTGTAAATTGCAACCTACTGTCTTTGCAAGAGCATGGCATGGGTCATTTGCGGATTTCCGTGGGGCCCCTTTGGCCAGCAACTCAATTGGATGTAACCCAGTCTTGGTACTGGAAACTTCATTTGTTGACAAGAGTTGGCCAGTTGGAACTCTGTTTCCTCAGTTACTTGAAAATTTCATTAGGCTCTCCCTACATTCCCCTTCCCTTCCCACCTGGTCCTCCCTCGTTCTCCCACCCTGATTCAATCCATAACATTTATTATCTTGCTCCCTCCCTTAATACTGTTCCATAATGACATAGTATTTTTTCCTGTGTTTTATTTTCTGTTTTGTTTTGTTTTTGAAACAGGGTTTCTCTGTAGCTTTTGGAGCCTGTCCTGGAACCAGTTCTTATAGACCAGGCTGGCCTCGAACTAAGAGACATGTGCCTGCCTCTGTCTCCCGAGTGCTGGAATTAAAGGCATGTGCTACTTCAGCCAACCCATAGTATTTTTCCTAAAATGAAATTGTGGCACTTATATCTTGACAGTAATTAGTAGCTCTCTATTTGAGCTTAGGGTCAGCCCAACTAGACAGAAATAATGACCGTAATCACAGCTAATTAACTTTGGCTAGTGAGGTCACAGATCTTAGAGGAAAACCAATGATTCTTTGTTACTTAAAAAAAAAAATGGCAATGGGAGTCAGGTGTGGTACATTACTTTAATTGCAGTTTTGGTGAGAAAGAGGCATGTGGACTTCAGGAGTTCAAGACCAGTCTGGTGTTTGTAGAGAGTTACAGGCAGCCAGGGCCGCTCAACCGTAACATAATAAAATAAAATAAAAATGAGATGTATACAGGCAGCATTTCATTTCCATATAGTTTTTTTAATCTGGTAACTAATTAAAATTAAAGTATTACTTATATCTAGTCATTGCTTGTTCAAACTTATGAAGCGTCTTAGAAAATTTGACAAATTTCAATTAAAATCACATTTTCCATAGTAGTTTATTTAGAACAATTAACAGTGGTTGAAAACATTCAAAACAATAAATAAGT